GATTATTATTGTAGTTAAGTGGGTAAATTGTTAATATAATAATGACACGGAGTGAAATTGTTGGTAGAGCGCACGTGCTAACTGAACGTAGAAACGAAGGCACGAGTCTAGAGCGCTTAGGAGAACGTCAGTATGCTAGAATTTCGTGGGAGGAGCGGAGTTGCTGGAAATGAGTGGCCGAATCAGGCGGAGGAGTATGTTTACACGAATATTTCTCTAACGTTCACTGTCCTGAAGGCAAGATTCGCATAAAATTTAGCGCATTTTAGTATACTCCAAGGAGACAAGAGTCTGTCACGCCTGCTATTCTTTAATGTTACATAATGAAAAGCGGTGGTCATTCATAGACGTACCCGTAACACACATCATCTTCACTACTGCACTGCGTTGCAACGCTGCTCGAGTCACTGCCAGTGAACCAGCAGCTTCGAACCACTATTACTTCTAAATGCCTCCTCAAGGCTCTTTCTCTCTGTAAAATATATATAAGGTACGCTGAAAAATAAACTCTTGTGAGAAAGAGAAATTTATCATATACGACATAGTAGGTAGGACCCTGAGACCTCGCGTCCGTTCGCGATCGCCAAACCCAGTGAACTGGGACTGATTACGCACCTATTTCCGGAGCCTCCAATCGCAGACAAAGAGACAAATACGCCCGAATGTGTCTCGTGGCGTATCATGGTAGAGGAACTGATCATGTATTTAGCGGATCCATTCTCAAAAATGCTAAGAACTTCTCTGTAAGTGGTCAGTTTTCGTTTCAAAACTCTACATTATATGTTTTGAGTGAGGTGATTTATGAGAACTACAAGGGTGATCAATAGCCTTTCGAACTCCTCCTCGACTAAGATACGAATCGATTTATTTGGCAAAATCCAGAAAATACAAACTTGGTTTTTGATCGGACTTTTCTTAGTCGAATCTTGGGGATTTGTCTATTCAACTAAATAACATACATCATATAAAATGACAATGACACTCCGAGAGATTTATTCATCGACACCAAAAGAGTTCACCTCTAAAAAAAGGGACCAGTCTTGATCCAGCCACGGACAACAAAATGAAATGTCATGCAAGGGGGATGAACATTGCAAGTCGATAGAGATAATCCTTAGCACGTACAACAAGCGCCCTACAAACATGGACAATGATATAGAACCTGCGTTTAGGTTGCCAAGAGTGGCTTCCAGCAGGATTTGATAAAAGCTAGACGTCTCTGATTATGTAATCTCTAAGCCTAACAAAAAAAGATGTGAGGATACAGGCAAAGTAGAAAAAGATCACAATATCAATATTTTTTCAAGTTATTCTTACAACATTGGAGAGAATTTAGTGAAGGCATAGAGGGGCACACAGAATAGAATAGACTAGTACATTCATACAAATCAGTATGCGCAAGGAAAAGATAGTAGTATGTTACAATATGTACCGTCCCATCAATGCCCGCATAAATGACACTTATCGAACATAAGAGAATGAATGAATGTTTACCACACGACCCTGCACGCCTATAATTTCTAACATTCCATGATTTGAAAATATTTCTTAATCTGAATATTTACTTTATATATATTCCTATCCTAAATGCAAGCCAATCGGATTCTTCAACCAATACTTTTAGTTTTCAAATTCATTACTGTGATCCATGTCTTGTATTAATTTTTACAATACAACTATATTGCACTCTTTTGCAAAATTATGCAATTCACAAAGTCGGCAAAACGGCACAAACCCAGAACTACTGCTTTCGCCAGCAAATCATATGTTACGCTTGCTCTTCTGGATGTTAGCAACCAAGAAGTGCCAAATGCGAGATGTAAAAGTAGTATTTGGCGCACCTAGCGGTTCAACAATTGCAACAAGTATTGCCTTAGTCCACGTTGTGTCTATTGTCCGTACTATTTTTAAAAAGGGGAATGGCCCAAATATTTTTCCCCCCCGAAGATAATGCAATGATTTAAATGTTGGTTTGCATTTGAATCCCTTTAGTTGAAACATATAGAAATGTAAATGAGAATTATTTAAATAGTTAGTCAACTTTTTAAAAAATAAACCAAAAGACTAACCTTTCCCAACCGTATTGAACAAATTAACATCAAACAGCGCTCATTAACCGAAAGAGATAATAATTTGTAATAATGTTATAATACCTTAAATGACCAATATAAAAACTCACATTCTAGACAACTCATCCTAGAGCTCACTTACACTGCTTATCAGATAACCACAGCTTCACAAAATGCCGGGGAAATTGGTATCACTGCAGCGTTTTGCCAACATCCATGGTCAACTTTTATGTGCAGTGCGTGGAGGGTGGGGCGGGGCCCAATTAATTTATCTCGGAAATTTTATGAGACCGCTTTAATACAAATAGATGTCGATGCCTAAAACGCCTTGATCCTGAAGCAATCTACTTAAACTGCTTCGATGTCTGCTCATTCATATTCCCTTTTAGGCCTCATAAATGACCGAATATGATGGCTATATTGCATATAGCACATGCCCATTCTTTGAAGATTATCCATGAAGTGGTTTTGTCTTCCCACGCCATCTTTACAATATAAATTTTTTGTGTCTATACATTACATGTAGTAGTAGATATCAATATCACGCAAATACCTCTATTATTCTGCGCGTCTGCATAGTTTTCTTTGCAATGCCTCTTGTACGACTAACAAATGCCTTTGTTTCTTTATATCTTCGGTCAATTCATGACCTGTCTACACGACTTACCGATGTTCCACTTGAATGACAGAAGTCAGCTAAATGAACGGAGAACAGACCAACTTACTTTCCCCAACAACCGAACTAATTGCATTGATGCCACCAAGCTTTCAAATTTAAAACGATCAAAGGTCTTTTTCCTCCTTTACTTAATTACGGACACAAAGTCTAAAGTCATACATTTGCTCGATAAGTGAGTGACCATAATGCATATGTGATGTGCATTTCTCCGTGTTTTTTCGATCTCTGATACGAATGTCTTGCTCAGTCCAGTCCACGGGAGTCCGAAACTTACTGGAACTACAGGCAACCGTATATAACTACCCAATTGCAGATATTTTCTTCCTGGAGTTTTCAGGCGCACTGTAGAACGAGTTTCACTCCTTTGTAATACTTTTTTCGAATTCTCTCTTTAATTGTGTCGTTCGATATGGTCTCACGTTCTTCAATGCTCAGAGATTTGTAAGTTTTTTCCTGGCTGCAAAGATCGTTGAATCGCATAGAAAAAAGAGTGCATAATCAACTAAATGTTCTCTGACTTTTACTCCTTTGCTCTAAATTTAAAATTGATTTTTTGCACACTTGTCCAGTCCATACTTCATTCAGGCATTGCTAAAGTCAAATTCACGAAAGACAGCATTTGAAGAGAATGCTTTCATTCTTAGTAATCACTTTAGGATCATCCATGTAAAACAAATGTGGTACTCGGTCTTCATCATGGAGCTTTGCGAATCCCAAAGGTTCTAAAGGTCTCTCGCGAACAATCAGTGTCTAGTTAGTGGGATCAAACTGAACAGCCAGGGTCAACTTAACATCTGCCAAACAGCAGAGGGAGATAGCGAATTAAAAATGGCCACCATGCTATCTTAATACTACTCTTTACTGGTTCCTTTCCGCTGTATGTGTAACTCTGGTACTCCAAGACTTTATACGCAGGCCTTCGCAAAAGCACTCACACTGAAGTCTGAGGATGAAAATCGATAGATTCCGACTGTCTTTCAAAACTCAAATTGTTTGGTACATATCA